ATTACTATATATATGTGTGTGTGAGTAAACTATATGCACCTAAATAAGTTGTAAAGTCGTTAGGTTATTTTAAAGTAGGAAACATGAAAAATGTACAACGCCCTCTCGGGGACTCGAACCTTGTGCTCTTGAATACGCGCAGAGTGTGCTACCGTTACACCACGAAGGTTCTCCCACTTTGCACCACGAATGCTGCAAGGTGGGAGAAAATACCTCATAAAGTTACTAAAAATCTAAATGAGTAAGCTAACTGAAACTGCATACTTAGTGAAGAGTACGTGAACTAGCAGCCGATGAAGTCGCAATAGAATAAGTTGCAGTGTTTATATACGGCACAAAAAAAAAAAAAAAAAAAAAAAAAAAACTGAAAAGAGAAATGCTGGTTAAAGACAGTTGTCATGGCCTATTTATTTAGTCTAACATTTTGATAAATAATCATCGCTCAAATTTAAGTGTGAATGGATTTCTAAATCAAATTGTGTATCAGGCGGTGACCGTTGGAAGGCCCTGCATGTATTTCTGAAAGCATGAGCCTTTATTCCCGGGTACTCACCAGCGGCTAATCGGTAAAGTCACTGAACTCTGGTAGTTAGCTCCGGGGTTCGAATCTCGTTGAATGGGCTAGCTGCCTGAGAGTTTTCGTGGTTTTCTCCATGTGTAACGAGTATGCGAGTCAGTTTCACTTAGAAAGTACTACACGAAGACCCCCTCCCTCTTCTTAGGAAGGTAGTCCTCCAGTGCTTTGCCGTAATTAAATAAACCAAATCAAACCTTATACTGGAGCTCTATGATGCATGTTCCATTGTTCTAAAATTTTCTCTTTAATGAAGAGTTAATTGCTAACAAATGGATAACATGAACCATAGTTTGTGATTATTTAAATATATAACTATACAGAGGAAAACTATACAGAGGAATGTGATGTACTTCAAAAAATAAATGTGGTGATAATGAGACACTGGAGGTAAATCTATCTCCTTCAATCAAGAGACTATAACTGAAAAATAATGTTTAGTTTCTTTACTCGACTAAATATGCTGTATTCCTAGATAAACATTCGCACCTTTTATATTTCTTATATTCACAATTAAGAGAGCTATGAGAAAATCAGCACTGTATTTTAATCTGCCATGGATGTGATAGATTTTGATCGAGGAAGGACAAGCAAGTTGTTTGACTACTTTTCTTGAGTAGGAGTGGAGATCAGAAGCTCGATTTTCAACTAAGATTAATTTTTAGCAGACGGCATACTTTGTTTCCTTTAGATTCCTTTGTTTTCTTTCTCTCGACATACAGTTCTGTATTTCTTGAATTGAAAAAAGGTTATTAGATTTGTCCTAATGCTAATGTTTTATTACATATCATGCCTATATAAAAACAGAAACTTTGGCCTTAATTCTGTCAAAATAGGATTTAATTCATTATGAGAAACAAAGGATACTTATGTACCTAATAAAAACAGAGGAGATAATAATTTAGCTTTAAAGACATGGAACTGGAATTTCAAACGGTTTGACATAATACAGTGTGTAGACTGAAGTGGCTTCAACTATGTTGGTGAAGGGCAGGAATAGAAAATATCAAAACGAAGCAAGGGGGGGGGAGGATTAAAAGAAATCATAATGCAAATTTTGAAGAAAGTTGTATGTCTATCACAAAATGTCCATAAAAATTAAAAATGGAAAGACACTGATAAAAATATTATTGTAAGAAACGTTTAAATCCCCCCCCCTTTGTTTCTATTTCTGAAGATATGTTTATCAGTTATCCAACATGACTAAGAAATTTGCGAGATGACACGAATCACGGGTTTCTAAACTTACATTTTTATATAAGCAAACGTCTTTCCTTTTAAACTCTGTTCCCATAAACAAAATCTTTTGCTATACCTACTTACCATAAGAAGAAAAAAAAACAATGTGGAACATTAATTTTCTATTCTAGAGCAAAACATTTTATTCAAAGCAAGTATTTGATTTTATTTCATTGGCAAAAGGTATGTAAAAGGAAAATGGAAAGGTATTTTTTTTTCAAGCCAGGTAAATTAAATAAGTTTTTTTTTAAAAAAAAAGAACAAGGTGCATTTTTTTAACGATATCGCATTCCATGTATTGGTTTGCTAGGACATACGGACTAAATTTTAAAAACAAATGTTATCAATATCGTTTAAAAAAGGTAACAACGATTACAGTTTTAGTTGATAAAGTTTTGAAAATTATCTTATTATTTATTTCAAAATTTTAAAAATTCATTCCCTTAAAAAAACTGACGATTTAACAGTTTTAGCCTTCTATTCAGAGAAACCGTGAGTATAGAAAAAGATTGATGGTAATTGTAGTACAGTAAAAATTGGTTACAGCGTACTGATACTGGAGATTCCTTAACAAAACTCCCTTCTTTTTAAGTGATGTACTAAGTGCAATCAATGCAAAAAGCAGTTATATATCAGTTTATGAATTTAGTTCTATTTATGATTTTTCATTGTTCTTTAAACAAAGGCAAGATCCTGAAGGGCCTTAATATATCAACGGAAATTTGCATAACTTAATGGAAAATTTAAAGACAAGTTTAATTGTACTCTTGAGGTTTCTGTAACCAGAGATTCCGTGAACACTTTTCTTTAAAGGGGGCGAGTTATATGCGCTACTAAATTATGAAATACAATATAAGCTTTTATTAACCATATATTTTATGCTAAAGCAACTAATAGTAAACAATAGGAACGGGCGTAACGTAAATAAATCGGGTAGCTGGGGTAGAAGTATCTGTATAACCCTCGAAACAGTAATGCTGTATATTTACTTACATTACGCCAATTCCTGTAGCTCATTATCAGTTGCTTTAATATTTAGTTCTTTGACGTGTTTTTCTGTTACTTAACCTGATCTTTAAAAATGAAAGAAAGAATTATGGTAGCAGAAAATGAAGACTTGCAAAACTATTCAGGTAATTTTAGAAAATCTCATGAAATGTGCTCCTTATCACGAAATCAAATTTGAATATTGACAGCGACTGAAAATCTGATTCCTTAAGTAATTAGTGATGATACATTGCTATTAAAGCCATCAGCTGAATGCGAGTAAACGAAATGAATAATAATAATAATAATAATAACTAAATCCTTAGGAGAACAGCGTGAAATGTATCAACACCTGAATTCCAATTAAATACGAAATCCGTATCCGAAGCACTAATGGTATAATTACAAAGGAGTGGACAGTGAAGGCGCCTCGCGAAATTCTTGAGCAAACGAGTTCCTGGATCAAAATTTGATGACATAGTGACCTACTTTCTTTGGTGCGACTCTTAGGCAGATACCGCAAGTGAGTATTCAAGATAGCTGTATTTGTTTTTTTTTTTTCCCCGCATCGGACGAAACAGCTTGCATCTCTTTTTTTACCCTTCGGCTTTATTTACGAAGCACGTGAGAGTAGTAAAGGCAGGTGATGAATTTCTCGGTGCATTATTCAATTGCAAACTTAATTGAGCCTTTTTCATATTTCAAAACATTAAAATGTCATTACTATTCAGTACTTTAATGCAGGTTATCCCATTTTCATAGTAAAATGTATTAAAAGGTAGTTTATTATGGATTATATCTTATGAAGTGACCTGAAAAGAAGTATAAAGCTACTGCAATCATTGATGGAGAGGAAAGAAAACAAATGCAAGATTCTGGTGCATTTTTATGTGGTTAGTTGACAAAATTCTAAACACCCGAAAGCAATAATTGCTATCTCTGAATGGGAGATAAAAAAATAAACAATAAAACTAGTTACATAAATCTTTCATATGGTCACTAAATTGCTGGCATGTAAACATGTACTATAATTCACGAACTGAACAGAGCTGAACTGGTACTTATAATCGTCCTATATCTTTGTGTATGTAAATAAAGAAGTGTACGTGACTCACGATCCTCTTATTTTATTATACAATAAAATTAACATTTTTTAGATATAATGCATGTTCGTCACAAGTTATATGATTTAGATCTGTCGCAATTTTATTTCTGTATTTTATACTGTGTATAATTCTTATTTTAAACTAATTAACAATTTCTAACGTAATGAAAACTTTACGAGCAGAATTTTTTATAAATATTTAAACTATACTGAAACAATATTAATAACAATAATTATGCTATAATAATACAAATACCAATATTAATAATCTTAATATTACATTTGTAGCATACTTCAGAACAGCATTATTATTCCCTCTAGTAACAGACTGAGACAGACTACTACGAATTAAAATTAAAATAAACTTTAATATTCGTTGGCAGATAAATACAAATTTATTTTTATTTTAATTCGTAGTAGTCTGTCTCAGTCTGTCACAAATAAGAAATTACTGCAACTAATTATTTCACACAGTGAAAACTAGATAATATAACTAGTTCCTGTTAAAATTTATAGGAAGAGTATTTGTAGATATATAATTCTACATGGGGTGTGATGAAACACCAGAAATTATAAATTAATAAAATAGTTTTCCTGGAAAAGTATAGAAATAATTTAGAACATAATTTAATTTTTATGTAGAATATACTTTAATAACAGATCCGTGCCTTAATATAATTAAGGTTTTTCTAGAAGCTAATTCCCAAAATTGAATTTTAAAAAGGATTATTTGTTGACAGTTTAAATTTTTTTTTTCTTTTCAACTAGATCTCCTGCGATAAAAGAATTCCTCGTATACTCAGAAATAATGTTGAGAGATAAGACGTATCCTTTTTAAGAAGACATCTTAGTTTATCATATCATAGTCGATTTTCATTCCAATTTCTGTTTTCCACATAGAAAAGAAATGAAAACCAAAGGTTTCAGAATTTCTCATGCAATTCACATTCAGAAATTCTCATGTAATTCCCATTCACAATGGAACTGTGAGTCTAAGATAACAAATTCCTTGAAAAAAAAATGATGTAGTATCTAATTAGCTATGGATGCGGAGAAAAGAAAAACTGAAGTATCATATTCCATATAGTTACTTACTCTCTCTTTAGCTCTTCCTGCATGCTTTTGAACACTCTTGCTGATGGAACCGGCTCTATTGTCACTTGCCATTTTAATTTTGCGCCAGGTTCCGTAAGATTTCGCATAAGTTGCCGGGGCCAGGGCGTCCGAGATGCCAAAGGCACTATCACCTGGGTCACTGACTGAATCTCCTCTTCAAACTTCAGCTTCTCACTCTAGCACTACTCACCTTATTCAACTACCATTCAGCTGCATGTGCTTGAGGTTACTGCAACAGGTAAATGCGTCGCCAAGCGCACTCCTTGTTTATCGCCAACTTAAGTTTGTGGTTGCTTAGATGAATAGGAGGAGTAGAAAGACAAGGCAAGAAAGTCAGCAGCGGAACATTCCGTGACGCAAATACGGAAATATAGGATACGCAACTGTTGTTCTGAATGGAAGAGAAAGAAATGATATTCTTACGATACTGAAGCAATGTCGGTAACACTCGCCAACCTTACTTCCCGAAAAATAAATCCTCACTAAATAATAAGATAACAGAAAATTCTTACTAAATTTTTGTATTATTAATTTCAGCTTTCAAGTAGTTAATATTTGGCAATTCAAATTAAAATCTTTGGATGCGGCACTGATACTTGTAACAAATCTCAGCTTAAGAATTATATAAATGGCTGTTAGTGACATGATTGTAAAATTTAACCCTCAGTAAAATTCATAATAACGCTCAGTTTTAACTAAACCGGACATAAGCATAAAGGGTCTTTTAACAGGGTTTTCTAATTAATTTCTTTCGTGAAGTTTATTTACTATTTTCAGAAAAGTATTTCGCAAACGTATATTGTTATATTTCAGATGCATAAAGCGATGCATCGTTAATTATTTATGTATATGTAGTTTTTGAACGGCATCTCGTATTATTGATATGGCAAACGAATTGGACTCAGTTGCATTTTGCAAATTTAAAAAGTTTAGATTAATTAAGTAATAGAAAGTTTCAGTTCTGTGCCTTGATATCAGTTTTATTTACAGTTCACTTATCTTACTGAAGCCGGAATTTGTGTCAGGAAGCCTGAAAGCAAGTTTTAGGAAGTTAAAAATGGTTTGAAATCTCAGATATATATATATATATATAATATATAGGATTACATCTCTCGTCTTTAAAGTCAACTTAGAAAATTTTCTTTAGTACTGGAAAGGTTTTTGTTGCTGAAATTTACATTTTTGATCAATATATTTATACGTATGAGCAAGCCAAGTGGTTGCACTTCTGTTCTGAAAACAGCTTTTAAGTGATAACAAAACAAAATAACATTATACTGGAAATCTCTGGACTAGCTCATTTTGAACGCTCTCCTCCTTCGCAAGATTTTCTGAGGCAGCAAATGCCGTCTTTCTAAAATTAGCGGTTGCTCCTCTTCCTGTAATAAAGAAGGGGGGAGAGAGGAAGAACAACAGAGAAAGTAACTAGTTCTTTCCACTTAGCTTTCCTCGTTCGTTCTTTTTGCAGTCGCTAGGGGCTTAATGGACTAATTTATTCATTTTAAAGAAATATATTCTGGGGAAAAAATATGTTGGTTTCAATATATTTTTCCAGAACACCTTTTAAAATGAATAAATTAGCAGATATAGTCTAAAATAGTAATATCTTTGCATACTGATCGTTACGTTTCCTAATACGTGCACAAATGCCTTAAAAATTCGAAATTGATTTTAAGCAAATTCGCCTGTGTTAAAGGAAATGTTACTTTTGCGCTGACGTTTGTGACAACTCTGGTCGCCTGAGCGCAAACTGTTTCTAAGGCAATTAGAATTTCTCTCCCCAATTTAGCTAACCTACATTTTCCTATTATATTATTATATGAAAAAAAAAAAAAAAAAAAAGCAGTAAGATTTTTTATTTACTTAGTTTTCTACCTATTGCTTATTCCTTATTTTATTTATTTATTTAATTATTTTCCATTCCGTGATTTGCATCAAATTCTGAAAACATGATAAGAGATGCAAGTTAATCAGAAATAAAAGACAAATGGATCGGAGATTTGTTAGTATGTAATAAACAATAAAATTTTAAAATTATAGTATAAAAATAAGATATATTCCTGTTAAAAAAAATAAAAATTCTTCTGGAACTGTGGTTGAATAAAATTTGGGGAAGTAAATATGTTGTGAATCTCTCAGTGTTTAATTCAAACACGGTTATTCAGCTAATTTTATTTTGAATATTACGGTAAGTTATAATAATTTGAAAGAGTTTTGCCGTCTTTCGTCAAGGCTCTAAGAACTTCGTACTCTTTAAAATCTCCGTACTCTTTCAAAGAAACTTGATCTTGGGCAACTTCCAAGAAAAGTGCATGTTTAAATTCATGAGATACGAGGGTAAGAATGTGAATAAGAGTAGCTAATTTCCGATCTTATATAACCTAACATCAATTTCTCATTTATGACTTTTGCGAACTGTTCCAAAGTAGATAACTGTTTTCCAGAATAAAACGCTAAAGTTTACAGTAGATGCAGCGATTTATAAACTACATAAATACCCAACTATTCAGGCTATAATCACAAATAAATATCTTCTATTCATTCATTTTCTACTCGAATTTTTAGTCAACACCACTAGCTTTAGAATGCGTGTTAGTGACGTCAGGAAGAAACCACTGAACGGGGTTTAAAGAAAAAAAATTAAACAGAAAAAATGCAATTACACTATATTTAAAACCAATATTTTCACAAAGAGGAAAACAAAAATAAATATATAAATAAATATTTTCGCATAAAATTGAGCGTTTCGATGCATCAAGTGTAGTTCTTATATCATGCTACACCGGTGACTATTTATTGGTTAACTTCTAAGAGCCGCGACATGCCGCATTGCTCCTCATGAACAGAGTGCTTGAATCAAGAGAAATTGAAAAATAAACACTACTGATAATTAGGATGGTTTCATTAATTTATATTAGTTATATGACTCATTATTCTGTTTTGCAATATAAAGATGAAAAATCTACTTTTTTTAAAAAAAAATAAACATTTGTTTACAATTTATATGGTAAACTACACTCATGTCCATAAATTAAGGATAATGCAAAATCAGGTAAAGGAAGAGTTAGAATCAAAACAAATTTGACTTATTTGTAAAGCTTATTTATTAAACAAAAGGTAAAGAGCAAAAAAAGATGCTATATGTTTGATATTATTAAAAAAATTAGCGATTTTTTCTCCCTGGAGCAAATTACAAAAAAAAAAAAAAAAAAAAAACTATTTACAAAAAACCAATATTACATGGTTGGTATGATTGTTAATACATTGTATGTCTCCCAGACGATGCAATACAGTCCGTACAACGCCTAGGCATGCTGAGTATCAAATTATCGATCTGATCTTGGGGGATATTACACCACTCAAAAAGCAATGCTCTCCGAAGTTCCGGTAGACATGTAGGAGGAGGTTGACGGGCTGCAACTCGTCGGCCAAGCATGTCCCACACGTGCTCTACTGGATTCAAGTCCGGTGAGAATGCTGGCCAGTCCATACGGGTGATATCCTCCGATTGAAGGCATTCGCTTACGATGTTTGCACGGTGAGGACGGGCGTTGTCATCCATAAACACAAATTGTGCGCCCATGGCGCCCCGAAACAAACGTACATGTTGTTCCAGAATGACGTCCCGATAGATTTGGCTTGTCATGGTTCCAATTTGAACATGCAGGTCAGTTCTGGAACCCAGAATAATTCCACCCCAAACGAGCACTCCTGCACCACCGTAACGGTGTCGTTCAATGATGTTTTCTTGGTGGTAACGGGTACCTGGAGAGCTCTCCATATGAAAGTCCGGCGAGAATCAGACTGCAAGCTAAACCTGGACTCGTCGGAAAACATCACACAAGCCCACTGTTGCGGTGTCCACAATGCATGCTCTCTACTTTAGGCTAACCGCAGGGCGACAGTGAGTTGCAGTAAGTGGAACGCATCTGACAGGTCTACGAGCATATAGACCAATCTGCCCTAAGCGTCTGTACACGGTCTGCCTTGAAATTGTCGTACCAGTGGCTGAAGAGAGCTGACGAGACAGGTCTGAGGCTGTGCTCCGCCTGTTTCTTTTGGCAGTAACTGCCAAATACCGGTCCTCATTCGGCATTGTAACTCTGGGGCGACCTGTGCTGTAACGTCTACTCACATTACCATCATCTTGGAATCGTTGCCAAAGCCTGGAGATGACACTCTGGGCAATTCCAAGTTCGTCTGATACTTCCAGTTGGGTACGCCCACATTCCAGACGGCCGATAATTCTACCACGTAAAAAATCATCCAAATGCGTCCTTTGTGTCATAACTATTCGGTTATTGCACTGAAATGCTTATAAAGCGCCTGCGAACAATTTTACTTCTTTGCCTGTATTCCTTATATATCACTCTCTTACACTCTCGTCATTGTGACGTACCATCGGTGTCATCTGGTTACTTCCTGAAATTTGCATATGGTTCTTGAAGATGTGTGTAGTGATTTTACATGTGATATATTTATTTTAGAGTTCGATTTCCGCGTGACTCCGAATTATCCTGAATTTATGGACATGAGTGTATATGTCAGTTGTTTGAACGCTGTCTTAGAAGGATTTCGAGGAAAAGTTTTAGAAGTCCTTTAACCCGGCGGAAGGTGCATTAAGAAAAGTTAGTAGAGTGGGCGCGTGGGGTATCACATACCCCAATGTTTAAAATACGGTAAAAGTAATTTTATTTAATTGTAAAGCTTTATTTTTTTTTATAACACATGGAATAATACTTGGGTTTACAAAAAATTAATTTCCAAAATAAGCTTATAGACAGTTAAAATTAAGAAATAAATAAATGAAAATAATAATAATAAAATAAAAATCATTTCCTTGGTCTTATTGCATCTCTAATACACAATCCTTATTTTGATCTGTTTACGCTTTGAACAAAATATCATTCATGTGTTCTTGGCACGGAAAGTTTTTATTTTAAACATTGCATTTGCGTTCTTCTGTCCCTGCCTCGAGGGCAAAAATTCATAACATCTTTTATACTTAGTTGTTTCGAATTTCATACATTCGTTTGAATTATTCGTCGGAACTCTGCTCTTCTTTTGCATGCAGTACGTAAGTCTCTCGATAAAGTATTAATCTCTGATCGTTGTTCAGCACTTTTTTTAATTAACTGTAACGCTATGTCCCTCAAAAAACAGACGTCTGCTTCAATATCTGGTTGATGGAGTAGGCAGTTGAAAGTATTATAA